GTCCGATTTGCCATAACTATTTGGGGTGGGAACTGCCACCCCAGTAGATCCCCCCCTGGTTTTATGGGGTTTTGTTATTAAAAGGTGATTTTGAGTTTACTTTTTACTTTATTTTTCTTCTCATCTCGATAGTAATTTACAAACGGGTAAAGAAAAAAAAATTATTTACTTTATTTTCTTTCCTGTGTCCTTAATACTTAGTAAAGAGTCAGTATTTGATTTATGAGAAATTATTTGCGCCACAAATTTAAATTAGCTAAAATGCAGAACATATTTGTAGTCTACTTACTATTACAATTACTTCTAATTACTAAAGTTTTACAGAGAAACTCATAATAACAGTCAGTAAAAATGAGACTTAGTCTTTGGGGGGGAAAAAAAAACAACAACAACAGGTTTATTAAACATCAAGTTTTATAAAACGAGTGAGTGAAACAAATTAAGATGAGAAAACACAAAATAAAGATCCATCTCTCAGAGTGTGAGAGGGCGCTCAGAAAGGCCTCATGCGCGGGTTGAGGGGCGGCGCTCTGTTGGGCGGCGTGATGGCTATATCCAGGTAGTCTCCGATCTGGAAACGCTGAGACTGCAGCGTCATGGCGTCATCCAGGCCCTTCCTCCCAGACACAGTGCTGCCGATCTCCTTCAACCTGAAAGTGATCAGTTAAGATCAATAACCTGCTATTCCTCTGATCAACCCGTCTAGTCAGCACAGATTTGTAGAGTTTGACTTACTTGTACATCTTTACTCTCGGATCAGGGAAGACAATGGCGAAACTGAAGTGAGTCCCCTTTTTCCTGGCTTCTGGATACACTTCCTTTACTAAACTGGTAAGCTCCTTCAATGTAGCGTCCATCCTGCAACACATACAGTCAACAGTTCAGCTCCATTTTCACTTCTGTGACAAGTAAATACAGACAAGCCAACAAAATGTTACCATGTGTATATCTGGAGCTCACTGGAGGGCACATTGCCCCGAGCAAATTCGTCTGATCTGTGGTGTCGCCCACTGTTGGTGGTAAATACTCGCAGCAGAAGGGGGCAAGTCTGCAGCAAACGAGAAAATAAAGCTTAACTTTTAACATAAGCAGTGCAGAAACAAAAGTATTCTACCCAATCAAATTATCTTATAAATACATTTTAGTGTGGCAAGTTTACTTTAATAAACACCGTTTGTCTTTAAATAATGGCTTTGAAAGGGTTCAATCCATCAGGACTGCCATCTAGTGGCAAAACCAAGTTACTACAAGTCACTGATGAGAAACAGATGTTAATTAAAAACATTTTTAATCGTTCTTACATGTAAAAGGTGACAAATAAAACATGAAGATATGCATTAATATGTTCATTTATTCCTGTGCAGTGAGGGAAATTACTGATATTGATGTCAAAATACACCAATAACTTTAACAAAGCCGATCAATACAGAATTTACTGGTGCAGAGTGGGCAGGTTGGCCAGGGTAAATACCATAATAAAACACACACACACCTTACTTTAAAGTACAACCGTGTATTAGGGCCATTGCAGATAGAAAAGAAAAAAAAACTCGGAAATTTTCTTGGGGAAAAAAAATAATTCCAGAGTTTCAAAAGTAGAAGATTTGACAATAAATTGATATTTTTCTTACATTTTATCAGCTCTTGTTCAATCAAAGCCACTAACAATAGTCAAACTTGGAAATGCCATCTCCATAGTAACACTTGGTGGTGGCAGCATCATGCTGAGGGGCTGCTTTCATTGAGCAGGGACATCTTAGATGGATGGTATTAGATAGAGGGCAATACTGTTAGATTTGGATTGTATTATTCTAAAATGAACTAAAATGAACCTTTAAAATACAGCCTAAAGTAATATATAAATAAACATTTCTGAGTTTTGAAAAGAGTTATATTAGCATGGTTTCTTTTTGGTTAAAAAACTAAAATGTTTAGTCAACTCTGGATTAGATTATTCTATATATAAAACAGAATATTAAAAGCAAAGTTTAATTTCTGATAAAGGTGTTTTGTTTTGTAATAATTCAAAAATGCCACATGAGTTATTACAAGCACCCCGTTTAATGTTTGACTAAAAAGTCTAAAGGTTTCACATATGAAAGATTATATAAGTATTTTAGAGTTTGAATCAGAAATCAGATCTACTAAAAAAGGCAGAATAACCCTTTACTAAAAAGCCCCTCATTTCAGCGTCGGACATAAAATATATCTGATAATCTGCTTGATTCTAATTTTAATTTAAAAATGGTGCAAATATAGACTTTCGAGAAGTAAGATATAACACTACATGACATCAAATCAACATATTTTTAAGATAAACATAAAATTAAACGTCCTTTGATGCTCACGCTGAATAGCCATTAGCTAGCAAAGCATTAGCTAGCACGACACGTTGACGTTTCCTTATTTACCTGCTTCTCTCTCTCCCCCTTGATTATTGAATAGCTTAACATTACCACAGCAATTTTTCACATAATTTAACTACTGTGATGCATTTTATCTAATATTACAAATACCGTTCAGTAGTTTGCTTTCTGATATTAGCATCAAATGCTAACTAGGTTAGCTCCGGGTACAGAAGGAAAACAAGGAGCGAGGGATTTCGGAGTAAAATGCTGTTATTTACCTTTTCCCGATCGATGGGTTTCTCTGGCTCCTTCTTTATTTCCTCCTGTGTAATCCGCGATTCAAGCGCCATTGTTATTTATTAATAATACAGTCATACAGCGAGGTCTGTCTCCGTCCTCTTTCTGTAGCTGCAGCAACGAACAAGGTGGTGAGCGACTTTTTCTTCTTCTTCTTGACTTTTTTGGCGGTTGGCAAACAACGTTCTGTTGCTCACTACCGCCACCACCTGGTGAGGTTTGCGGGTCAGAATGGAAATAAAATCCAAATTTGCTTAAAAATATGGATTATTATTAAAACTGTCGCTACCAATAAATATTGATAACAAAAACGGTAAGCCATGTTCGACTTTCTTCTACTTTGCAACTATGCAGTCAATTCAATAAAGATTTGTGACACAATGTGGGAAAGTTCAAGTAGAAAAATTATATATATATATATATATATATATATATATATATATATATATATATATATATATATATATATATATATATATATATATATATATATATATATATATGACATCTGGGTATCAATGACAATATGCCTAATCCATAAGGGCAGATCTATTCTGTCTAATTCTATGCTTTGTGCTCTGAGAGACGTCATACTTTATTGTTTATTGCATTTAGAAATCCTAATCACACTTTCTGAACCATTTGAACGAAAAAACTGTTGTTTCTGCAATGACAGTATATCCAGGAAACATCTCAGTGCTTTAGATGTTCTTTTTTGTTATCCAGAATGTTTATAAATCACCTAAAACTCCTGTAGCTTGTTAGATTTTCAGTTTTTGTAGAAACTGCATCTTAGTGTCAACCAGCCAACCCTCCTACAGAAAGCTGCCATTCAGTCACATGCTTCACTCCTGCTCACTCATTAAACTAAATGTGGGTGAGTGTGTGTGTAATTCCTGTCAACATATATGTGAGTGAATGTTTGTACAGTATGTGATGGTACAGTGAGTGGTTGTTTGTGTTCTTCCTGACAGTGCCGCTCTCTGTTCTGGCTGATCAGAGACCAGGAACGTCTCTACTCTTTCACCCTGATTCCTACATTTTCACTCACTCACCAGACTGAAACGATCCTCCGAGCTTTTCTGAGCCATTTCTACTGCGGACTCGATAGAAAGATCGGACAGTGGCTCTTTGAGTCTCTGACACTGATACCCATTCAATGATGCAGGGCCTTGTTTTAACACACATTCTATCATAAAAAGGTTTTATTGAGATAATTGACAAACAGTGGAGAAATAATTTAAACTGAGACATTTTTTGGAGGGTGTAAACATAATTAATCATTAATCGGAATTTATTGTGACAACGATAAATCAAAATTCTTATCACGATAAATTATAAATGATATGATAAATTCCCAACCATAAACAAGAACATTCCTAATTTCACTGTTTTCAGATCCTTATTTCCTAGATTGTCTGTCTTAAATTTAGCATCTTCCGATGTCTTTATTCGACTTCCTCGGTTCCGCAGGTCGGACCGAGGAAGTCGCTTTTTGCTCCCACACTTCAACAAACTGTGGGAAAAGCTCATCGGTCCCAGTCATCAGCCGCACACAGAGCCGCTCTGTCCGGCCCGCCGGCCGCTGCCAAGACGTAACTCTGATCTGAGAAGCTCTTCTTCCGACTCTCTCGCTGGGTCCAGTTACAGTCACAACAATCACACACAGATACACTTTCCCACACACACCTACACACCACAATGCTACTTTGTTCACTCAGCCCTCGGACTTCCAAACTGCGGGTTCAGTAAGATTTTAAATCTGAATACATCAGTCTAAATTGACTCAAACATAAAAAAAAATGTCTTCAAAATGATGGACACTCTTGACTCTAATAGACTCCTATTAAAAAACCCAAAAACATCTATCTGGAACTAGTAAATCTATAGTTAGAAATTATCTTAACATCTTATTAAAACCTCTTCATGTCTTCAGTTTTGCCTGCATTCTGGTAAAACTGCAACCCTTCAATATGACAGTTTCTTCTCTCCATTTCCATTTTATATCAGTAAAAGCTGTTAGCTTCACAAAAAGATGCCTTAATGCTTTTGACAGAAACATTAGACTTGCTAAGATAAAATATGATACAACTTAGTTTTACAGATTTGCTCTGAAAACAAACTTGAAGACTAATGCAAAAAAGTATAAATAAAAGTGGAGATATTTTGTTGTAATGTAGCTCTGTAGTAGCTGTAACTGCACTGTAATTTCTATTTGTGGAGTATTTTTAAAAAGTTTGTGGTCGTAATGTCACCAAATACGAGAATGAGTTCAAGGGGTTAGCGTGCTTTATAGCAAGGGTGTATTATGGCCCCGGGACCACACTTTGGACACCCCTACTTTACAGGATGCTTGTCTGTCTTTCACTCTTACAGCTTTGGATAAGAAAAAAACTCCAGACTGATTCCTGCATTTGGAAAAATACTAATATCCCCAAAAAAGCCCTGATGAGTTTTATTTTGAAAGTCCTTGGAGGAAGTGACCCTGTTGCTGTCTTTGTTGACTTCACAGTGAAGAAAGCATCTTTATGCAGAAGACTTCAGAGCTGCAGGTTTGTGTCTTGTTGCTCTCAAAGGACAAATTCAAATTTATCTCAGTCAGTTTTGTGATTTCAATTAGATGCATTTTATTTTCTTCTTGCAGGAAAAGAAAATGGAGAAACTTTTACAGCCGATAATCTGAATCACTATAAGCAAGGTGAGAAATGTGTTCCTGTTTTATGAAATTATTTTTATTTTATTTCATTTATTTGTTTATTTAAAAAAAAAAGAAAACAACTAACAAGTAGAACAAGAGAACAAAAATAATTAACTTACAAATCAATAATTATCGGAAATATGTAAGTAAAAACATTATGGTATTAATATACCTGTTTAATTTACTGTAACTAATGTTATATTAATATTAATAATATTAATAATTAGACATACAGCGTCAGAATAAATACCAACTCCTTTCCAATGTACACCTGTAAATTCTTCAAAATCTGTGTTATATAACAAATAAAGTAAAAGAAAAACAATTAATGGTGATAATGATAGTAAATAATCTGCTAATAACGGTAACAGTAAGGAAGGAAAGGTATAAATCTAATATATTTAGAAACATTTCATTTAAAAATAGTTTCTGCTGTCGTTATAGAGCAGCCTGGGTTGTTTATCTAATGCTTTCTTTGTACAGTAGAGTGTTTTTACAGTCTCGGTGGGCAGTGAGGTTCATCAGATGTTCACATGAATGCTGGCACGGCGCCTTCCACTTTCCTCCTCTCACTTTCATTCCTTTTCATCGCCTTCCTCTGTCAGAGTCGGCTTTTGTTTCTGCTTTCATCTTCTGCCACTTCTGTCCTCCTCAGAAACAGATTCATGTCGTCATGGAGTCGTTTTTATCAAAATGCTAAACATTTACCTGTAGTTTTCTGGTGTAAATAGTAACTTTTCTGATTGTTTTGCTTGTCTGCTCTAGCAGGATGTCTTGGCCGGCTCTGTACGCTCAGCTGGTCGGCACCAACCGGCACTCCACCTCCCTGGGAAAAGTGTGGCTCTCTGTGCTGTTTATTTTCAGAGTCATGGTTCTGGTTGTGGCCGCTGAGAGCGTCTGGGGCGACGAGCAGTCCGATTTCACCTGTAACACACTACAGGTATCACATGGCCAGAGAGAAATAACCACAAACTCATTGATTAATAAAAAGAAATCAGACGCAGAGTCAAATTTATGCAAACGAGCTGAAATATTTAGATGTCTTCTGAAAAGTTGGAAAGAAACATGACATTATTTATAGATATCAACTTTTTAAAAAAAAAAAACTTTGAATCTAAACTACTCCAGATAAATTTCTCCTAATTTTAATTCCTACTCCTCTTTCATACCTACTCACTTTTTTCCTTTTTGACTGGACTGGACCCAAATGCTTAGTACATTTCCTTACAGAAAATAACTAACTTGTTGCTTGTTTATGTGGGTGTAAAATGTCCCCAAATCAGGGCACAAAAAGAACAAAACTGTACAGAAATGACAGGAAATGTGCAAACTAACCACCACACAGTCAATACTGACACCTACTGGCTGTATGATACCATTTAGTTTAATAAATCAAAATTAATTATTAGAAACAACCCCAATGCCAGCTGCATGGTGATGCTGATTTCCATTTCTGTTACTTTGGTTTTTTCTCCCAGCCTGGCTGTGAGAACGTCTGTTATGATCAGTTCTTCCCAGTGTCCCACATCCGCCTCTGGAGTCTCCAGCTGGTCTTTGTGTCCACACCAACCCTCCTGGTCTCCATGTATGTGGCCTACCGCAACCACTGCGATAAGAGACGAATCCTTCAGGTGGATGTCCCTCTTTAATTCTGCTTATTCATTGTGATGTCATGTTTAAATATAACCAGTGCCTTGTAAAAGTATTCATACTTTTTGTGAGAAGTCTTTTAAAAAACCCACAGTCAAACATAGTAGTGGTAATGTTGTGGTTGGGACTGTTTGCTGCTTCTGGACCAACCTGGATTTTCTGACTGGTATCAATTCTGATGTAGAAAAATCCCAGAGGAGGTTGTCCAACCATTGGACCATTAATCTGGATGACAACATGGTTCCCTCTGAACCGGAAGTGATCATTTTAGGAGAACGCAGTGCAAAACATAGCTGAACCAGAACAACAAAGAACAAAGTATAAAGTATATCAACACTCTTGACTAAAAAGAGAAATACATATCAACAAAAACGTATAAAACAGAGAATGCAAACATGTCAGACGATATGAACAAGCTGCCTCCGATCTCATACTATGACATAGAGCTATACCTAGTGAACACAAAGTGTGTTTACACCATGGAGGAGCTTCATCGACGCTTATAATCAACGTTTAAACGGATTTGCAAAGGACTTATGAACTTTTCAGGTGAATAACAAGGTTCTGATGACTGGCAGAGTAAGTACACGCGTAGGCTACATGTCCGTTTTAGCTAGCAGATAAAAGCTACATTAGCTAGGCTAATTTTATAATTGTAAACGGTAGTAAATGATATTTATGTTAGTATTACACAGAGATGGGTAAAGAAATCAAAAACTGTGATCGACCAATAGTTATACTTATATTGTTTAGTTATATAGGAATGAAACGAGAGCCAGTTCTAAGCTTGTAGCTTGTTTATTGTTCTCATAGCAACTCCATAGCAACTCCCTGTCAAGACAAAGTTCACGGAAGTGTTACGTGACGTCACATGAGAATTGCGTATTGAAATTAGAGAAAATTTGATGAATTTCGTTTGTTTTCAAATCTAAATGATGCACATATATCATACTAATGACCTTGATATATATATATATATATATATAGAGAGAGAGAGAGAGAGGGAGAGAGAGAGAGAGAGAGAGAGAGAGAGAGAGAGAGAGTCTGGGCAGAAAACATGCGAGGGCATTTTAAGTAAAAATATAAAGGAAGTCATAACCAAATTTGGTTATGCAGTACACCATCAAGATCACGCCTGGCTAACCCAAAGAAATAACTGGAAGTTTTTGTACTATAGCTAAATGGGAAACAAGGCACTGAACTTTGCCTAAGTTTTATGTGATTTTATGCTGCTGCATTTTTCACACTCATCTCTTCACGTCTGCGTTAATCTCAGAAGGTATTGTGTGTTTATTTTCCCATGGGCGGCCATTACTGTGCGTCAGAGTTCTGGACGGGCTAGCGTACTCAACAATAAGGGGCAAGAAGAAGAGCTGGAGTCGCTAAAAAAGAGGAGACTCCCAATAGCTGGCGCCCTCTGGTGGACATACCTCTGCAGCCTGGTGTTTAAGATGATGTTTGAAGGTGGATTCATGTAAGACATGGGATTCAACTTTTCCCTCTGTCCATAATCAGACTGGTTTGGTGTGAGAACACACACTGTATGTACTTGTATCGCCAGGTACGCCCTGTACGTTGTGTACGACGGTTTCCAGATGCCACGCCTTGTGCAGTGCGATCAGTGGCCATGCCCCAACCTGGTGGACTGCTTTGTCTCACGGCCCACGGAGAAAACCATCTTCACCATTTTCATGGCTACTGCCTCTTCTATCTGCATGGTCCTTAATTTGGCTGAACTTGCATATTTGGTCGCCAAGGCTCTCAACAGGTAGAAGTGTTCATCAGACGACCAGGAGATTAATTTGATTTAATAGGTTTGCAGTTTCACATTACCTTTCTGTGTCTTTGATTTTTCAGCTAACCACTGAAAACACCTTGTTTTCAATGAAACTTTGAGGGCAGAGGGCGAAATCTGCAATTCAAGAGACAGATTTGGGTCTGAACAAACCATCTGCTCTAGGATGAAGGTGCATCACATAGCAAAGACTTTTAAGAGCAGTTTTAATTGCAGATAAATCACTTCTGTGACCCCAGAAATGGTGACGGATGTCAACAATGAATTTTTATGCACATCTTGAATGCCAATTGTTTTTATACCATTGTGGAGCCTTTGGGCCATCTACTGGGCAACAATAAAACTGCACTGGGGCAGACTGTCAGATTGTCAGAATCCTGACAACTAAATCTTTTTGCATAACCAGTTGGGCTGGATCTTAAAATGTTGGTATTATGTCAAATTGTTTACTGTAAATTTAGTGTTTATCAGTTGATGTTATTTTAAAATAGTTAAATAATATGGCACACTTACATCTCTCTGCCTTTCAAAATCTAATTTTTTCCTTGTTTACTTCTTGTGTAAGTTAAAATTAGTACCATTGTGTCATTATGTAAGCTAATTACAAATGACACTAATGATAGCAGGTATTTTACACACGTTGAGTAGGAATGGTGACACATCTGGTGCTGACCGGGGAGGCCAGACTACCCAAAAATTGTACTCAAGTAAGAGTAGCATTACCTCAACATATTTTTACTCATGTAAAAGTAAAAAACAGCCATCCAAGAAATTACTGAAGAGTAAAAACGTATTTGGTAAAAAGTCTACTAAAGTACTGAGTAACTGATCAAATTATCAATCATTGAATATTTAAAAATTATATAATCAGAAGGACCAAAATATAGTTAAGTGGGAATTTTGGTGTTTTAAGAACCAAATGACAATAATTCATGAAAGAAGCAAAAAATAACAAAACTAAATCAGGCAAAAGAAAACTGTTTCTTTAAATAAAAAGCTTATGAAACTTTAACAAAAACTGCTGGTGTGAGTCTGTCTGGTGAATTTTACTTGAAACACATTTGTTCTCCAATCCATAAATTTTACTCCAGTTAGAGTAGAAATACTTCATAATAAAATTACTCAAGTAAATGTAAAAAGTACAGCAAAGTAAAAATACTCCTAAGAGTAAATCTTTTCAGAAATATTATTCAAGTAAATACAACTGAGTAAATGTAGCTAGTTACAACCCAACTCTGGGTATTTACATGCTGGTGAGGGGGGCCCTAAATGAAAATTTGCCCACTGCCCCAAAAAGGCTTTGGTCGGCCTTGCCTCAATGCTCATTTTATTCGTTCTTTTCTCGCTCTTGTTGGTTTTGGAGGAACGTGACGTCTGAGTGGCCTCTTCAACATTAATGCGCGCGCGCAAGCACCGACCACCCGCCGCCCCCCTCGTGCGCCCCAGGCACGGGGACACCAAAGTGTGCAACAGTGGCGGAGGGCCTTGGCCACGCGGGACGCAGCCGCTGCGCTTCGCGGGACGGCTTCCACACGCACCCAACTTTTTTATTTTTTAATTTTCGAAACACCAAAAGTAGTTCCGCGTGTCTTCCAAAAGGAAAAAAAAAAAAAAGAAAACTTCTCCATCTCCATCTTTCTCTCTCCCTCTCCTCGTGTTTCGAGCCCACTCGTGCCCGTGGGACTAAAATAACGAAGAAAAACGAAGAGGAAGAAGGGACGGGAAGAGAGGAGAAGCCCGCCGCCGGGAGGGAGCGGTAAGCCGGCGGATGCTGGAGTGATGGTAGTCTGAAGTGGGAGGGAAGAGGAGGGATTATCATCCTTCCTCCTGCTGGATTATCTAATCCTCTCATGCTGCGTTCATTTCCTTTTGGAAACAGGAAGCTTCTCATACTTAATAGCGCAGAGTTATTCATTTGGTTTCAATTAATTAATAGGAAAGAATCAAGTAAAATGTTATGTTTTGCCTTGAAAACTTGACTGGAAGTTTTTTCTTTTTGTTAAACTGCGTCTGCAAACTTTTAACAGACCAAAAAAAAAATCACAATAACAAATTTACTGGACAATAAATTGTCCCAGAAGTTATTGCAATAAATGATGTTATTGTAATTTTTGACACTATTTTCAAATAATATAATGTTAATTGCATAACAATGCAAGAACACATGCAAAGGTCAATACACTTTAAATTGTAATAAACAGTTGCCTCTGGAACTGGAAGACATTTTTAAAAATGCAAAATAAACTAACAAAACAATAGAAATAGCAAATAAAATTAATTATTAAGTCTCTGTAAACAAAATGGTCTTTCAAAAATGACTTTTATCATCCAGTTTCTGATTGAAAAATAAACAATAAATCATGCAAATCGAAATTATTCAACTTGTTTTAATTTATCATGTGATTAATTGATTTATTGCTTGTTATCACAGGCTTTTCCTTAGCACAGATTTCTCCTCTCTTTTGTGTGACTTATTATTTCCTGATTGGTAAAGCTGTGGCAGCTTAATGCTGTGGGAACGCCAACATATGTACTTTTTAAATTTCTTTAAATCTTTTCTTTCCTAGATACTAATTATGCATTTTTGTGTTTGCAAAGTGCATGTTTTTGACCAAAAGTGCGAGATCTATACATTGTTTTTGTTTACTTTACTTGTATATTTGTATACTACTATAATCTGTTGAGTCTGTATATAGATTTAATCCCTTGATTTCATCAAACTGCAGTGTGTGAATACATACAGTAAGAAGCTAATTGTCTGATAAGTGGCAGATGCAGCTTTCATGGTGAGTACTTTGGGCTTCAGTCGGTGATCTAAGAGTTAACTGTTTGGGACGTTTGAGGACAAAGAGCCCTGATCCATCAAAAGCATGCACCAGCCTGGACAATATCCATCTGGCAGCTTCTCTATTGTCTGTCCTGACCCGTGGTATTTCATCACGTCAACACATAATGTACATCTACACGCTCTGCTGTCAGACTGGTGGCCCAGGCAAGAGTGTTTGGTCGAGTTTCTATAGTGCAAATATTTTAGTACACTTTGACAAAACCAACTTACAAGTAACTTTACAGGAGCTTAATTGGAGTCAACAATTCCTTATTAATATTGATAAAAAGTACTGTTTCCACTGGCAGATAAAAGACATTTTTCCATACGGAACTAGAACTGGGTTGCTAGGTGACAACCATCGCTTGCTAGGTGACGACCGGGGGTTGCTAGGTAACGGTGCAGTGCCAGTGGAGCTAGTATTTTTTAATCAATAATCAGGATTTATTGACTTCATATAAGCTCCTATTTCTTGCTGAAAAGTTCCTTCTAAATTAGTTTTGTCTTGTTTCAAGTGTAATAAGATATTTGTATTAGAAACGAGACCAAAAATACTTGGTAATATTTAGTGTTTTTACAGTGTATGTTCCTGGTTAGCTTCAGTTGCTTTGATCTGACTGACTTTAGTCACAGAAAACTGATGTTTGCATAACGCTTTCACCATGAGTAACTTTTAGGTATTTTTTCCATTCTCCTTTCCTTCATGACTAAAGGTCAGAGAGAGACTCTCCGCCCAAAGTCCTCTGTACTTTGACTGGGCCATTTTAACATGTAAAAATAGGACTAAATGAGGTCATGCAGTCATTTCACTTACATTACTTGTAAGTTTGTTTTCATTCATATCAGTAAATCCCAACATTTGCTCCCCTCAGCATTCCTGGGATGTGATGAGTCCAGCATTCAACAGGGACAACCTGTCATCCACTCATTCCCACATTGTCCTCTCACCAGTCAGTCCACACAAACAGTCATGGAGGGGCATTTCAAGCAAAAATACTGTTTCAACATGCTGATAATCATGATAAATACTTTAGTGTCACAGTAGTGCAAAGAGAATAGGTCAAATAGATGCAGAAAAGACACAGAAATATATCCTCTGGCTTAAAGACCTGGAGAATTGTAGTTGGTTATTTTGGCCAAAAGGTGTTGTGCAGCCTTCTTGTAGCTTATTGCGAGTACTTGTAGTGATGATCATCAGTTTTTTATCGTCTTCCAGGGTAAAAAATCAAGGGAAGAATGGGTGACTGGAGCTTTCTAGGGCGTCTGTTGGAGAATGCTCAAGAACACTCCACTGTGATTGGAAAGGTAACTATGCATTAACATCCCTAATTCACATCTTTTATTTTTCTTTGCCATTTCCTAATGTGGCCATGATAAGTAGATCTCTAACTCCAAAAAAGGAGACACTCTTCATGAATGACAAAATGTCATTCCCAAGGCAGAAGTGCCTCAGAAATCTTTAGCTAACCGGTGTTTTGTAATTGTTTCATCTTCCCTTTTCAGGTTTGGCTTACTGTCCTATTCATTTTCCGTATCTTGGTTCTTGGCGCAGCCGCTGAAGAAGTTTGGGGTGATGAACAGTCTGACTTCACCTGTAACACCCAGCAGCCAGGTTGTGAGAATGTCTGCTATGATGAGGCCTTCCCCATCTCCCATATCCGTTTTTGGGTGCTGCAGATCATCTTTGTTTCTACGCCCACTCTCATCTATCTTGGCCATGTGCTGCACATTGTGCGCATGGAAGAGAAGAGAAGAGAGAGGGAGGAAGACCTCCGAAAATCTGGACGACATCAGGAGGACCACGATCCTTTCTATCACAATGGAGTCGGTGATGGAGGAGCAGGAGGTGGTAGAAAGGAGAAACCGCCAATACGGGATGAACATGGGAAGATCCGTATCCGCGGAGCTTTATTGAGGACCTATATCTTCAACATCATCTTCAAGACTCTGTTCGAGGTGGGCTTCATCTTGGGGCAATACTTTCTCTATGGCTTCCACCTGAAGCCACTTTATAAATGTGGCCGCTGGCCCTGCCCCAACACTGTGGACTGCTTCATCTCCAGGTTAGAAAGTTTTATATTTTTGATTTCTATATACATCTGAAGACACATAACCTTTTTCTCACTGTCTTACAGTAAATCAGATTCAGGTTTTCCTATTTTAGGCCAATTAAGATTACCAAGTACATATATATTCACCAAATATCATAACTGCAGTGGATAGAAGAGTTTGAGGATCTTCTTAATCCAGTCACAATGTCCTCTGTCCAGATGTACTCTGGGTCAGGGTCACGGTTATCAGGTTCCTGTCATAGTTGAAACAACTTTTCAATGCCACCAGAAGGACATGGTAACAGCTGGGGAGTGGCACCCAGGATTGTGGTCCCAATTTTCTATAATGCCAACTGGTCCAACAACATGGAGAGCTTCCTTAAGAAAGCTTCCTCTAGGCTGTTGAAAAGGACAATTGACTGATTGTCAAACCTTAAATTCGATAGGGGCATTGCTTTGGAATAACGGACCAGATTTTTACCCTTGCAGATCTGCTGAGGAGATCATTGGAGTTAGGTTGTGCAGTA